CATTATTTATTGCTCCCACTTAAGTTTAATATAGTGTCACACACTGTTTTTTCTAACCTTTGAAGATGAACTCATGTGCAAAACCATACAGTTGAAAAACATGTGGGCTACTTAGTACAAACATGGATTTATTTATTTACTTATTTTTTACTTATTTATTATTTAGTTTTGAGAGAGACAGAGTGTGAGCAGGGGAGGGGAAGAGAGAGAGGGAGATTCCCTCTGAGCTGTTGGCACAGAGCCTGATGTGGGGCTCGAATCCACAAGCCATGAGATCGTGACCTGAGCCGAAGTTAGACACTTAACCAACTGAGCCAGCCAGGTGCTGCCATACAAAGATACTTAAAGCAGATGTCAGAAGAGTATCAAGAGTATCCTTGTATCTTGCCTCTGTACTTACTCTGTATTCCAAGTACATGCATGGCCACATCTGCGACCTCCTTAGGTGGGCACCTAAGCACACACATCTCAATCATATCACTATTTCTTTGTCTTTATCCTCGTCCAGTTTCTCTTGCGCTATTTCCATTGTTACACCTCTCCATACAGTCTTTATGTACAGTGTTCCCTCTTAAGCAGGATGTTTCGACATCTTGATACCACGTGTGTCCTGTCTTTCTCCTGTCAGACTTACGAGGCAGCTTTTCCTTGGGCCAGTTTTTTTACTCATTGGTCTTGTTTCTGATCCATATTAATAATATCTTTGATGTTGGAAGGAAGAAGAAGGGTCTGATAGTAGCCCTTGTTGTATCTGAGGGAAACCATGCCTTCGTGGCTTGATGAGAACCAGGTGGGTACTGATTATCCTGAAGAAGGTGGAGAACACAGCTGAGATTTTGGTAGTAACGGAAAATACCAAATGCGTTCACATCCAAGTCTTGATGTGAGCCCTTGCTCCATCCCTCAAACCAAAGAACTGTCAGCAGCCCATAGCCACTTGTGATGCCATATCTAGCAACAAAGACAAGTCCTGTAAACCAGAGATGCCTTCAATGGCTAGAAGAATGCATTGTTAAAACAGCCCCAGCTGCCTCATTCTTTGCCCTTTGGTTCACATGCACTCTTCTTGCTTAACTGCTGGCCCTTAGGACACCTTTTATTCACTTATTTAAAGGGGGGAAGCTGCTTTCCTTCCAGGTGGGATTCAGGTCTGTAAGTCCATGTAGATATAAATACCTAAGTCATCATAAAGACTTGGAGCTTGGAGTCTCTGGATGGGTTTCTGCCAAACAGGAGTATTCTTGAGTATTTTAGACTATTTAGACAGACTCCTCTTGGGAATATACATCTTCTCAGCCTCTTGTTCCAAAACATCACTTTTATCTGCATGGAAAGTCTGTTGGAGTAAGTAAGCTATCCTCTTTCATTGATCTCTGCAGACATTTGGGGAATATACTTATACTTGTGGCTTCATTTCTTATTTGATGTTGTCCATCTCCAAATTCACTCTTTGTAGCCATCAATAAAAAGTTTGCTGAGCCTTCTAAATTAGGCTGACAGGCATCTGATGCTGAAACTGATCTGCTAGTCACACACTGCACAGGTTTCACATTTCATCAACCACCTTCTTTTGTGCAGATCATTACTGAGTAGATGGGCACAGCACTTTCCACATGTTAGATGACTCATTCTTTTCCTTTAGAATCATTTCCAACGTACGGCTCTTCATCCTGTAATAACATTTGTCATCATCCTTCCGTGTTCAGTGTTTTGGAGAAAAGAGCTCCACTTTCATTTTAATGGAAATCAGAAGTCTCCTTGTATTACCATTCTCAATTGCTTTGTTCTTATAAGGCAGGATGAGATTAATAATCTCTCTAAGATACCTCAGCATGAAGCCCAAGTCCACTGGAAGCTAAGGACAAATGACACCCTCCGATGATCAACACCATCTGTTGGTGGTTCACAGAGCTGAGGTGCTTTGACTCATTAGAATATAGCTTGGGAAACTTCCAGATTCGATAAGCATTCAAAACCACTTAGTGACAATGTTATTACCTGTTCTTTTCTCTCCTTCTTTGGTAGAACTCTGATCTTTGAATGATGTCAGCTTTAATATTGTGGTATTTCAGTTGTGAATGTCTCTCTGCTGTCTCAAGGATGTGTCTGATTTGGGATACAGTTCTCTTCCGGTAAGAGTTGTGTGTGGGTGAGAAGTCGGGTTCCTAGTACTGGCCCTTTTCCCCCTGTCCTGTACGCTTCCCTCACAATTGGTACCTTCCTTGTTCCTACTTTACTTTTCTCTTTTATGAATCTCCACAAGCATCTTTTTTTATTGCTTATTTACCAGTACTCCTTGGGAATGGGCATTGTTTAATCCTTTTGCTTTTTTGTTCTAGTCATCTTATCAGTGTCATGAAGGCTCAATTACATGATCTCCTGTCAAAATACTGTTTTATGAGACAATAATTATTATGTTTTGGTAAAATTTCTAAGTCATGGTAATAAGATCAATGGCCATAACATTTATTATTGAGCTCTTTGTTTCTCTTACCTGAGAATTGCTAACTAGTTTCTCAAGTATGGTCTTACTTCCCTTGCTACTATTTAGACTCATTTATTGAGTAATTACTGTGTCCTAGACACTAAACTAGGCACTAGGGATGAAGTAAATGAGATATTTTCCTGCTCTCTCGCTTTATAGTATAAGCTATTGTATTTCTACGTCCCTTTTACAATTCCAGTTTAAAAGTCTTTTGATCAGGTCAGTGGATTTCATATATATCACATTCGTCTTTTTTTTTTTTAATGGTTTTTAAATTTATTTTTGAGAGAGAGGGAGAGTGCAAGTGGAGGAGGGGCAGAGCCAGAGAAGGACAGAGGATCTGAAGTGGGCTCTGTGCTGATAGCCGAGAGTCCAATGCAGGGCTTAAACTCATGAACCACAAGATCATGACCTGAGCCAAAGTCGGATGGTTAACCAGCTGAGCCACTGACGTGCCCCTACAGCACATTCTTCTTTTTTTTTTTAAGTTTATTTATATTGAGAGATGAGAGGAGGGAGGGACAGAGAGAAAAGGAGAGAGAGAGAGAGAGAGAGAATCCCAAGCAGGCTCTGCACTGCCAGCACAGAACCCAGCATGGGTCTCAATCACACGAACCCCGAGATCATGACTTGAGCAGAAATCAGAAGTCAGATATTTAACCAACTGAGCCACCCAAGCATCCCTACAGCACATTCTTCTTGATGTCATGAGGTGGGTGCATTATTTTTCTTTCTAAGAGCTCTTTCTTCAGGTGTTAGAAACTGTGAACCCAGAGACAAACCTGCTCTTCTACATCCTCCCTATAGCTGACATTTTACTTCCTACCGCTCTGTTGAGTTACAGGTTTCAACTGGTGGGAGCAAGGAAAAATGTGTCCTGTGCCCTTGACTTCTGGTTTCTCACCAGCAGTTTCACCTTCTTGAGTTCAGTGGCTTGATACTGTTAGCATTCAGTTGGCTTATAACTTAGTCTTGTCATCATCCACTTAGCACAAGTGTCCAGCCCCGTACAAAACTTTAAGAAATATCAATCCAGTCCTAAAGACACTATTCCAAAAGCTTTATGTTAGAGAAAACGCACATTTTGTAAACAACACCTATCACCGATCTGTCTAGAAATCTTTCATTCATTTATTCCTCCTCTATTTATCAAGCACCTTCTGTGTGCAGTTACTATGTAAGTTCCTGCACATAGAGCTGTGGGCAAGACTGATGAAAGTTCCTGTATTAGCCTCCTGTTGCTGCTATAACAAATTATCACACACTTAATGGCCTAACACAACACAGATTTAATTTCTTACAGTTCTGGAGGTGAAAAGTCTAAAATGAGTCTGTAGGGTTAAAATCAAGGTGTCGGCATGCCTGTATTCCTTCTGGGGGCTGAAGGAAGATCCATTCTTGCCTCTTCCAGCTTCTGGAATCCACCCACATTGCCTCTTGGCTCCTGGCTCTATGTTGCTCTGACCTCTATTTCCATGTCACGTCGGCTTCTCTGACTTGACCCTCCTGCATATTCCAGAATAGTCTTCCCATCTCAAGATCCTAACTTTACCCATCTGCAAAGTTCTCCTTTGCCATGTAAGATAACACATTTATGGGTTTCAGGATTAGGATGTAGACATCTGTGGGGTGCCACTGTTCTGCTCCCCATATTTCTGTCCTCTTGTTTATTTCCTAATGAAATAGTGCTGTAGTGGCAGGTAATCTGAGTCTTTCAGGTTTACTTTTTCTAATGAACTGGCAACATTTCACATCTGTTTATCTGCATTCCAATTTAAAATATGTTAGATCAGGTCCTAAGATGAAAGCAGCTTTACCAGGCATATCAGTATATAATAAAAACCTAAGCAGTTTCGTTAATGTTGTAAGTGGTAGAAATCTACAGAAATATCACTGCCACAAAAATATCTTAATATTTTTTAAATGCCAACCTAAAAAATAATTAAAATGGACAGAAACACAAATCTAGGAGACCCAGTAATTTCTGATCAGGAAAAGTCCATTTAGAAAAACTGCTTATTATCCAAAAGTAAACCAAATTAGGGGGTTTGGAGTGGGAAAGCAATCCACAGATGGGATCTAGTTTGTCTTTTTTTCATAGTTTTTTGTTCAGAAACACAGAGTAGCCAAGAAAATGTCTAACCACTAATTACTGTGGTGTAAATTTTATAAATAGTATAACATTAGAAATCCCCAAAACATGAATGGTCCTGTAGAACCAGTGATTTTTTTTTTAATATGTCTGACACATTATTAGAAAAACAAAAACCATGAGTTCATGAAGGTATTCAAGAAATTGCTTACCATTTTCTTCCTGGATCTATTGTGTTGCTCACTATGGTTGCTAATAAGGCTGAGAATTTAAGGGTCTGAGTGTGTACAAAGTAGGAAAGGAGATGAGCTTCTAACACGCAGCATTTATATTCTGTGAAGGAATAGTTCATCAAAATGTCTTCCACTTAACTTCACTAGCATCCAGGTAACCTTAAGTTTTCTTTTTTGTTTTCGTGTTATAGTGAAACAACAGTCAAATCAGAAGAAGTGGATGAAAATGGACAGCCTTTGCTGTTTCTCTCTGTACCTCACATTAAAATCAGGAACTTTGGGCAGCTGTCACGTTTTTTACTTATTGCCAAAGATACAAAGCTGAAGGAAGCACAGGCGTGTGTTGAAGGTGATATTTATACTCCAGTCTATGATTTGAACTTTTAGAAACATAACCTCGGTGGTGGTGGGGAGGGGATCATTTGTTACAGTCTCCTGGACAAAGTTCTGTAACCTAAAAGGTAAAAAAAATTCCTGTGTTCAACTTCATAAAAAAGTCATTATTTTTTCTTGGCTGAATGTTAATGCTCATATCAAATTTCTACTTTAAAATGAAAGGCCTTAATACTTTATTTACCACTAGAAACCTTCTTCTAATTTTCATGTGTGGTTTAAAGACAGGCTTCCTAGCTTCTGTAAAGACCAGAGGACTCTAGCCTTTGAGGTCCACACAGGAGAGAAGACGGATTTGAAGGGCCAGCACCGGAATCCACACTCTACTCTCAGTACTGCTGTGATGGATGATGATTTGTTTCCCTTAAAATGAATGTAGACTCTTCTTTTAGCAGAATTGGCTCATAATAATCTCACTGTCCATTGGTCTCAGCCCTACTCCATTGTGAGCTGCACGGCCTTGTGTGAATAGTTACATTCATTCGATGGGAAATATTTTTCCTCTCCATTACGGATGAAGATTTTCATCCTTGTCTAATCATCTAACATGCTAAAAGAATGCGATCAATTGCCTGCCATAATTGTACTCCAGATTTTTCTCATGAGTAGACAAATATCTAACAGTAGATAAAGATGCTGTATACATGGTTTGCTTCTTTGGAATCGTGTGACTAGAAGGTCCTAAGCATAAGGTGCCTGGGTTCTGCCTCTTGTCGTTCTTTGCTGTGTCTACTGCTGTGAGGTAGGAAGATGATCTTTTTTTTAAAAAAAAAAAAAATTTCTTTAAGATACGAACCTCAGGGCAGCAGCCTCTTTTTTATCTCTTGCCTACTCTTCATTAGGCTATCTATACATCAAACTACTCTGCTGAAGAGGAATAAAATCTTGAGAGTAAAGCTGAATTCAGGAAGGTCATTAATAGCATTAAATTCAACTTAATATATGAACATAATACATAGACTGGCTGCTATATATCTAGTTTGGCTACATATGAATCTTTTGCTGCATTTTGTCCTTTCCGTGGGAGTTCTAGATACAACCCTTAGTTTTGGGTCCAAATTCCATGGTGCACAGCAATTTGGGGATCAGGTTTGTGTCTTTCCGCAGAATTCATCTAGTACCTTTTTTTCATGAGTCTTTATGAAATGACCACCATACTGGTGATAAGTTGAGATGCTCAATTGGTGGATGATTCCTAGATCTCCTTCCCCTGCCCCTCCCCTGATGTGGTCTTTTCTAAGAGGTCCTAAGCCTTTTCTTCTATTTTCTGGTGCCCTAGTCCCCTTCCTATTGCAGAGTTCATGTGATCCCTGTGCTCTCTTCATTTCAATCAGGTCGAGCTTTCTGAACTAGTTCCATGGGCCTTTTCCCCTCCCTGTCCAAATGCATCCATACTTCATCTTACTTGAATTCCTCCTTTCCAGATAAGGCTTTGCCACTTTCTTCCTTGTTTGCAACTACATGGTTCTTTGGCTTTTCCCAAATCCTGTTTTCAGCATCTCTAAGTTCGACTTTCACACCTGTGTCAGCCTTGATTGTGCATTGGTGTTTCAGGTTTTCACTGTAACTTTGGTATGTGCATAAGTACTGGCCAGTGTTTTTCCAACTCTAACATCAAAAGGCATTGAAAATATGAGCAGTTTGAACAGGTGGAGAAGACGGGCAGTGGATCTGTAGACTGAGAGAAACACACTCTCTTGGAAAGAAAGCATTTGTGAATGCACTGGTGCATGTGCACACACACACACACACACACACACACACATAAACACACATAAACACACAGTTCTAGTGATGATTTTTCTAAGGAGACCAGTATTTCCCTATCTTCAAATCAATTCTGAGTATATTAATTGAATGCCCATGCTGGACAATGCCCCACAGTCAACAAAAAAAAGAAAAGAAGGTCTTGGTCTTTGTCTTATTAGAGAGGTGACGTAACTAATGATGTTACAATACAAGGCAGGACATCCCAACGAGTGCAAGAGAGTTCCTACTATAGTAGAATCTGAGAAGTAGAGATCAATTCAAATGGAGTCCATCAGAGAAAGCTTAATGAAAGAAACACATTTGGGTGGGCTTCAAAGGATTTGTTAGTCTATGTTTCTTGTAACAAGACAAGAGGATCATTTTTGTTTATTTTTTGGTCAGCTAACAGAGATCCTGTAGCAAAAATCCTGGGTTTAGATTATAATACAATGAAAGAAGACACATCCACGGTAAACATTCTTGATAAAGTTACCAAAGGTGAAGATTCTGAAAATGAGATTAAGATGAAGATCGCCAGGCTGCTCAGCCAACTGGATCTGCACCTCCTGAACCATTCTCTAAAACATATTTCACTGTGAGTCTTTTAAAAAAAAAAAGAAACCTCTAAAAATTAGTTACAAAAAGTGCTTTCGGAGGTTTTTCATAAACACACAAAAAATATAGACGTTATTGCCATTGATTTTGTGTGAAATTTTATTGGATTAAGATTGTAGTTTATCGCATGAATATTTCTAAAACTAAAAATTAAAAGTTTGCAGTCAGAATTGCTAAAGTCTTCCGTGGGGTTTCGCCTAATTCTGAGGACATGAAGCGACCTTATTATTTTCAGTCTCTTCAGGCTGTTAGGTAAATTATTGAATGATAATGCAAATATCATGCAGAGTTTGTAAGATTAAAAACTTGTTCATTTTTCTAGTTTTTTTCCTGGTATTATAGTGTTATCACTAAGAAACGAAGTGAATATTTAAATGAGTACATTTAATGCTGCATTAAACGTGAGTCACTGATTCTCTGATGTTTGACAGTGTTGTCAGATTACAACATGGCTAAAATTAACTGCAGTATTTTTGTTGTTGTGTAATTTAACCACAATTTAACTATAAAAAACAATATTCCCCCACCCCCCCGCTAAAATGGAATGTTTTCATGTGCTTTCTGCAGGTTCTCTTTTAAAGTGTCAAAATGAATTTCTTACCATTTATTTCAGAGAAATAAGTTTAAATCCCACAAGTGTTAAGAACGATATAGAAATGCTGAAAAATTTCTCAGGAAAAGGAGAACAAACTGTCTTGGAATCTATCAGCTATACCTCAGGTTTATATTATTCTCAGTTTCATTTTGTGTTAAATATAATTATTTCCAAATGCTTCAATCGTGACCTTAGGATTGAATATTTGAAAAGATGAAAACTTAAAACTTTAATCATATTTATTTTTTTAAAGCCAACATATTTTTAGGAGCTCCTTTTAATTGACTGAAACTTATTAATTGGTTTCAGATTATGAATTTTCAAATGGATGTAGAGCCCCACCTTGGAGACAAATTCATGGAGAAATTTGTTATGTGCTGGTGAAACCACACGATGTTGAAACTCTGTGCATTACTTGTAGTGCAGAAGGAGTATTTTTAAATGGTGTAAGTAATTTTTTAAGAACTCTGTTGGTTTTGGTGCTTAGCTCAGTCTCTGTAAACGCAGGCATGTGTCCAGGATTGAATCCTGATGACCACAGAAAATGCGATACTGCTCTGTGGGATTGAAGCAGATCCCCCTGCTCTGAGTTTGCCAGGCAAATCCAGAACTGCCTCAGAATTAGCCCCAGTGTTCCCCATTGCAGATCATTAAGTCAATCTCCTACGAAATGATCTCCAAAGGGGCCCGTGCCACTTTATACAACAAAAACCTCCTTAATCAGTTCCCTGATTAATTATACAAGTATTAGGGAAAAGAAGAGGCACAAGAGGAGCAAGGAAGTAACACAGAAGCAATAACTACAGCTTTTACCCTAAGAGTTGAGAGGACAAAGGGAAGGGAGGGGCTAAAATGTGGGAGCTTGGAGGAAGTACCCCATGAAGCTGGGACCTACATGTCTGGTGAGGGGCCAACTGCTGGGCTGGGCTGGTGGCTTAGGATCTCAGAAGATGGACCTTCCAGAGCTGAGATTTAGACCTGTGAAGAGTGGACCCCGCTTACATTGGCAATGGTGTGTTAGGAGTTCAGAAGGGGGACCGCACAGCACTGGAACCCGCAACTCTGAGGACTGGTCAGTTCCAGGAGAAGCTGGCCCCCTCTGAGCTCAGGTGGTCTCCCTGAAACTGGCATCCAGACCTCTGAGGAGTGCATTGCCCAGTTAGTGTTGGTACCTTGGGAACTCAGCAGAGGATGTTTGCAGAACTGGCAGAGCTGAGACCCAGACCTTTGGAGATGGAACCCTGGTCGGTTTATAATGGTATTTCTGAGGGGTCGTAATGAGCCTGGTTCCGAGAGTACAGGGGAAAACCCTGGGAACTAGAACTAATTGTTCCTACTGGGAGCGACTGCTGCTGCCAGGGGTGAAGGGCCGTTGCTGGGGTAACTCTAACAGGGACAGCAGACGAGGAAGAGGGAGTATGTCCCTTCCTCCCTCCAGCTTGTCAGTGTTCCTTTCACTTCCTGCTGACTGACGCTGACCTAAGCTGGCAAAGGAAAAACACAGTGTTGCAGATCCCAAAGCCCTGAGCATCACTAAGCAGAGAGATGGCCTTCCAAAGCCTCTAGATTAAAAACCGTTTAGTCTTCTACCTGTTCACTGAGGTCAACTTTCTCCTTTGCGGTGTAATTTGGGGCCTCACAGGCAAAGTCTGCAGGGAGAACCCAAATCTGTAACGGGGACCCAGCCGTCAGAGGAGACTGGAGATTTGCTACTTCTTGGTTTGGATTGGTGTCAACGTTTCGGTGCCGCTTTCTTGATTACCGGCAGGCATCTGTCCTGATGTGCCTTGTTCGTGCTTTTTTTTCTCAGCATGATGCTTAGCTTATGTCTGCACAGAGGAGGGAGACAGCCTAAACATGATTGTACTTTTGGTTCGTCTTGATACTTTAAGTGAAATTTCCAATTAGACAATAAGAGGTAACAAAAGGAATGACTTTCTTTGACTTTCTAGAGTGGGGCAAGGAGACTTGGTTTCTAGCAAAGGCTGTTGACCTACATACAACTTTATTTGATATGGAAATCTAAGTATTCCTGTCTATTAAAAAAATGAAAGATAAGGAACATGAAACTATTCAGTAATTACAGAAAAATGCATAACACACTAGAGTCATATGTATATGCATGATGTTTATGGATGTATAACACACTACAGTTTTTTATGTATACATTTGGTTAAGGGAGAACCAAATCTTTTCTATTAGGGTAGGCAAAAAAGGGAAATGATCAAAGGAAAGACAAAAAGAAAGAGGTACAGAGACAAAGAGTGGAGGGATGGACTGATACATAGAGATTAGAATTCTAGAAAATATAAGCCTATAGCAACCGTGTCACACAGACCAAGAGCAAGGGTGTGACAAATAGAAACAAGCTTTTCTGTGCTGACATTCTAATCTTGGGGCCTTTTATGACTTCGCCAGAGGCTCTTGAAGTCATACTGCTTTTTTACATTTGAGAGGTACAGAGGGAAAGAAACTTGGATTCTTTGCTGACCAGCAGAGTGCCCTACATGCATATAGGAGGTAGTCAGTAAAAGCATGCTGAATGAATGAATGAATGAATGAATGAATGGATAACTTTAAGAGAAAGATTTTGCCTATATTTCTTATGTATAAAGACTACCACATGGGTCCTTTAGAGAGGAAAACGATATGTGGGCTTGGGTTGTGATGTATTGATCAGGCTCAGTTGCTATTACATTAATAACAGCATCAAACTTTTTCTCCCAAAGGGCAAAACAGACAATGAGGGGGAAATTAATTATGAGAGAAAAGGTGAAATTTATAAAGACCTTGTCACATTTTTAAAAGAAAAATCAGAAAAATTTTCAGAAAATATGTCTAAACAGGTAAGTTTATAGACTTAAAATTTCATACCATAGTGTTACAAGTAACTTTCTAATTAGAGTGATTCTAATTAGAATCACTAATCTAATTCTAATTCAACTTTCTAATGAGAGTGATTCTGCCTATATTTGGACTTTGCTTCTATTTTCAGTGTTTTTCACAGTATAACATAAAATACGAAATAAGTGTAGTACTTTGAGAAAGTTTCTGATTCAGGTAATAGGTGTAAAATATTTCAGATTGCTTTCTAAATAGCACTCTTCATCTTCCCTTTTGAATTAATAACACTAAGAACAAAGGAGTCAGCCCTGTTAACGAAGCCCAGATGTTTTGATTATTTTTATCCTTTCTCAACATCCCATGATTACTACCGAATTGCATTGCCTTAATAAGTGTCACCTGCATATGCATAAGACCTGTGCTTCCTTTGTGTCTTTCGTGGGTTTTGAAATAGTGTTGCACAAAGAAATCAGTTAATAGAGTTATTTCATGAAGTAAAATCTTGATTGAAGCTGATGTAGGCAAGAAACAATATGCAAGAAATACTAATGAAACACACTTAAACTCCAGGCTGATTCCCAAGAGGTCAATTTCACAAATCCCACAGGAGATAACTTATCGGGCCCATTGTTTCCCTTCTGACCCTGCCACTTCCGGAGGACTGTTTTCTTACTGCACTGCTGCTACTCTTGTCCCGAAACTTCTCTTTGTCATCATCCTGCGAAGGCTTTTTATTGCCTGGTGTTTGAGCACCTGTTTTCCTGGACTCCAGTTTTTCCTTTGTTGTTATTGTCGTAAAATAGCTATACAAAGCATAAAATTTGCCATTTTCACCACTTGAGTGGTATCACTGAGTGGTGTTAATTACATTCCTAATGTGCAACCATTACCACTGTCTACTTCCAAATCTTTTTCATCATCTCAGACTAAAACTCTGTTCCCTTTATGTAGTAACTTCCCCTTTTGCCTCCCCCAGCTCCTAGTAACCTCTCTACTTTCTGTCCCTAGACATTTGCCTTTTCTAGATATTTCAGATAAATGGAATCACACAATATTTGTCTTTTGGTATTTGGCTTATTTCATTCAGCATAATGTTTTCAAGGTCCATCCATGCTGTAGCCTTTGCCAGAACTTCATTCCTTTCTATGACCGAATAATACTCCATTTGTATATTATGCCACAATTTATTCATTCATTCATCTGTTGATGGACACTTGGGTTGTTTCCACTTTTTTGACTATTGTGAACAATGCTGTAAATACTGGTGTGCAAGTATCTGAGTCCCTATTTCAGTTTTGGAGAGTATATACCTAGGAGTGAGATTTCTGGGTCATATGGTAATTCTATGTCTTAACTTTTAGAGGAACTGCCAAACTGTTTCCACCTAGACTGAACCATTTTATGTTTTTACCTGCATTGTACAAGGATTCTGGTTTCTCCACATTCTCACCAATACTTACTATTTTCTGTGTGTGGGTTTGTATGTGCATTTATTGTAGACAACCTAATTATGAAGTGTGGTATTTCATTGTGGTTTTGATTTGCATTTCCTAGTGATGAGTGATGTTGAGCATATTTTCATGTGATTATTGGCCATTTGTGTATTTTTTTTTTTAAGAAATGTCTATTCAGTTCCTTTGTCCATTAGAAAAATGTTTTGTTGGTGAGTTGTAGGAATTCATTATATATTGTGGATATTAACCCCTTATCAGATCTAATACTTGCAAATATTTTCCCCCATTCTGTGGACTGTCTTTTCATTCATCTTGACAGTATCCTTTGATACACAAACATTTTTAATTTTGATCAAGTCCAACGAATACATTTTTGTTGCCTGTATTTTTGGTATTGTACTTAGGAAACCATTGCTACATTCAAGGTCATGAAGATAGATATGCCCCTCTTTCCTTCTAGGAATTTCATGATTTTAGCTTTTATTTATTTATTTATTTATTATTAAAAAAAATTTTTTTTAACGTTTATTTATTTTTGAGACAGGGAGAGACAGAGCTTGAATGGGGGGGGGGGGAGGGTCAGAGAGAGAGAGGGAGACACGGAATCTGAAACAGGCTCCAGGCTCTGAGCTGTCAGCACAGAGCCCGACGTGGGGCTCGAACCCACGTACTGGGAGATCATGACCTGAGCCGAAGTCGGACACTTAACCAACTGAGCCACCCAGGCGCCCCATGGTTTTACCTTTTAAATTTAGGTCTTTCATTCATTTTGAGTAAAGTTTTATATATGGTGTAAGTAAGATAAGGATGTAATTTTATTCTTTTGCGTGGGGATTCCTAGCATTATCTGAGGAAGAGATTGTTCTTTCCCCCACTGAATGGGCTTGGTATCCTTTTGAAGATCAATTTACCATAGATGAAGGCGTTTATTTTTGGATTCTCAATTCTATTCTATCTTGTTTATCCTTATACAAGTCCTACACTCTTTTGATTACTATATCTTTGTAGTAGTTTTGAAATTGAGAAGTAATGAGTCCTCAAACTTTGTTCTTGCTTTTCAAGACTATTTTAGCTGTTTGGGCTCCCTTGACTTTTTATCTGAATTTTAGGTTTGGTTTTACCATTTCTGCAAAAAAAAAAAAAAAAAATAGCATTGGGATTTCGAAGGGATTGTATTGAATTTATAGATTGCTCTGTATAGCATTGTCATCTTAATATTAATTCTTCCAATCAATGGACACGGGGTGTTTTTCCATTTGTTTTTATCTCCTTTAATTTTTTTTCAGTGGTGTTTTATGTTTTTCAGGGTCAAGTCTTTGTCTTCTTTGTTAAATTTATTTGTGAGCATTTTATTCTTTCCTGATACTATTATAAATGATATTGTTTCCTTAATTTCCTTTTTGATTGTTCCCTGCTACTATAGAGAAATAGAACTGATTTTTTTCATAGAATGTGCAGGCGTGTGCACAGGGTGGAGAGGTGCAGAGGGAGAGAGAAAATCTTAGGCAGGCTGCATGCCCAGCGTGGAGCATGATGCAGGGTTGATCTCACAACTGTGAGATCATAACCTGAGCCAAAATCGAGAGTTGGATGCTTAACCGACTGAGCCATCCAGATACCCCACTAGAACTGATTTTTAAGGGTTGAAATCAGTTCTGACTTTTGAATATGAATTTCAAAATCAAATCCTACAACTTTACTGAATTCATTTATTAATTCTGTTTTTTAAATTTTTTTTAACGTTTATTTATTATTGAGAGAGAGAGAGAGCATAAACAGGGGAGGGGCAGAGAGAGGGGGAGACTCCAGGCTTCGAGCTGTCAGCACAGGGCCCTACGCAGGGCTCGAACTCACAAACTGCAAGATCATGACCTGAGCTGAAATCGGTTGCTCAACCAACTGAGCCACCCAGGCGCCCCCATTAATTCAGTTTAAAAAAAAAAAAATCTTTTGTTCTTTGTACATATATGATCATGTCATCTGCAGAGAGAGTTTTACTTCTTTCTTTTCAATTTGGATGTAATTTCTTTTTCTTGCCTCATTACTATAGCTAGACCTTTTAGGACTGTCGAATAGAAGCAGTGAAAGGTACCTCCTTGCCTTATTCCCGGTATTAGGGGAAAGGCTTTTAGGCTTTTAGGCTTTGCCATTGAATGTGATGTTAGCTGTGAGCTTTTCATAGATGGCCTTTATTGTGTTGAAGAAGTTCCCTTCCATTTAGTTTTCCTTTTGTTGGTGTACCCCATCATTTTGGTGGAGCTTCCTAAGCAAAACAGGCACATTAGAGGGAAAAAATTGAGGGTTAGTGTGTGAAAATATCTTTATTTTTCTGTCCGTTATTGTTTCTGTAATGATAGTTCAAAAATAATTTTTACTTAGAATTTTTAAGGCAATTTTTCCTATGTGGCCTGTTTTGGCCTTTCCCATCTATCAAAGCCTTTAGGATCTTTTCTTATTCCTGATGTTCTATAATTTTCATGATGATATGGTTGGTGCTGATGTTGTTTGTTTTTCATTAATGGTGACATATGTCCTTCAGAACTAGAAAAATACTTTTTTCATATCACATCTTTAATCATTCCTTCCTCTCTTTCTCTTTGCTCTCTTTTTGAAACTTACTAGTTGTTTGTTGGGACTCTGAGATCCTCTGATTTTATTTTCAGTCACCCACTTTCTGTAAATATACTTTTGCTTTATCTTCAAGATGTGCATGTCTTTACAATTTAAACTCTCATATTTTTAACATTTCGTTTTCAGGCGCTTATCTGTACAGATCATATGCTTTCATTTCTCTTGGAAAATGTGGGAATAAAACAGCAAGATCAAACGGTAGTTGTGTGTTTAACTTTTTAAACAATTTGTAAACTGTGTTCCAAAGTGGTTGTAATATTTTACATACACACCAGCAGTGTATGGAGAGTTCCAGCTCTTCTGCTTATTCGTCAATAATTGGTCACGGGCACCTGGATGGCTCACTTGGTTAAATGTCCAAGTCTTGATTTCAGCTCAGGTTGCTCTCAGGGTCATGAGAGGGAGCCCTGTGTCAGGCTCTCTAAAAAAAGAGAGATTCTCTCTCTCCTTCTGCCCCACCCTGGCTCACATGTGTTCTCTCTCTCTCTCTCTCTCTCTCTCTCTCTCTCTCTCTCTCTTTCTCAAAAAAAAAAAAAATAGGTATGGTCAAACCTCTAATTTTAGACATTCTAATAGGTGCGTGTACTGGTATCTCCCTGAGTTTTCATTTCCGTTTCTTGAATGCATTCTTTCATATGCTTATTTGCCATTCATCTATCTATCATATGTGATGAAGTGTCTATTCAGATTTTTTTGCCCAGTTTTTTATTGGGTTGTTTGATTTCTTACTCAGTTGTGAGAGATCTTTATATATATTCTTGGCTTGCATATTCTATCAGATATATGACTTGTAAATATTTCCTCCGGGTCCATGGCTTATTTCATTCTCCAACCATTGCTTCTAAAGAGCAAATGTCCTCAATTTTTATGAAGTTTAACTTGTTAATTTTTTTCTTCATAGTGTTGTATCTGATAAA